GCCATCGAAAGATTTACGGCTTGGTAAAATGAAAAATTTAATTTTACTCCCGTTTGGGAATAATTGCAAGTAGGCGTGGTGCGTTATTTTTATGTAGCCGCAGACGGAACTGGCTAAGAAGGGTTTTTTATTTGTCATATGTTTCCTTATGTGTTTGGATTAAACGTAATTTTTGATCGACCCTGTGTCTATCAAGAATTTTAAAACACCTCCATCACCGTTGGCTTAACCTAAGAAATGAATGTGTTCGAGCTCCATATTCCATATTTTCGTTATATGTTTGATCTGAATTTCGTTCTATTGTGCTTCCTCCATAATTGTCCTCTTCGCAGAATTTGCAAATTTTGCTAATATTAATTCAGTTTAATTTTTTTTTTATAATAATTTTTTTCCTTAGTTGATTTCTACTACTTTCCTTTTTATTTGTCTTTAATTTATTTTCTTTTAAGTTTGTTTCTTTTGCCTTCTTTGGTTTTTATTTATTTTTCATCTATTTTTTTTTAATTAAAACAAAAAATTCCAAATTTTCCTTTTTTCTTTGTTTTATGTTTCCTTCTTATTAATTTTTAACTTTTGTTAATAATTTTTCGTTTCCCTTTTTTTTTTATTTGAATTCCTTGTAATTCTTGTTAAGACTTTTATTATTTTTATACTTTGTAACGCGACCTGGCGTAATCGCGGTAGAGCGGGTGGTGAGACTCTTTCATTCTCACTCTCTTGCCCGCCGCGCCGCATTACAAAATCAAAGGAAAATAATCCAAATTACATGTCGTCTGTCCGGTATGTCGTCCGCAGGTCTTTACTTCGTCCATTGGTACCCGTCCAAAGTCCACCTACCTCACCTCACCTGCACACCACACCATACCACGCCTCGGCGGTGGGGTATACCACCACTTATTAATTCACTCCACTAGGCTAATTGATCTTCTGCTTCCACTCTCCACAATATTACATGTATTCCCGTACGCCCTTTCGCGATCGACCTTTCCACATCGCCAAAGCCCTTTAATTATTTTCTCTTCTTCTCTTATTACGTAGATAGCGTTTGCTTTTCTTTCTTTTTCTTTTAGTTAAATTCTGTTCATCAATACTTTGGTATTTGTCGCGATTACTTATATAAAAATTTGTTCATATCCATAGTGATATGCGTGCATGTTTCTCTAGTAGGCTTGATTTCCTTTTTTTTTCCAGTCACTCACAATCGCCTTTAAAAAGACTTCTTCAAATCTTTGACTATGACAAAACAGAATTTCTTTTATTTATTTCTTGGGATATCCTTGGTATCTTGGTCATACCTTTTACATTTGCTAGTTTTTATTAATACACAAATAAATTTCTCTTAAAATGAAATTTACAAATTTTTATACATATTTGTTGCACAGTTTTTGTTCTTTCTCTCGGATTCTTTTTTCTTCTTTTTGTTTGCCACCAAATGCTCTAATGCGTATTCTACTGTGCTGTTTCCAATGTAATCTCTTTTACCAACAAATTCATCTTAAAAAAAAAAATTTTTACAAATTTTTACAAATTTTTACTAAAAATTGTCGCACAATTTTTGTTTTTTTTTTCTTTTTGGTTTTTGTCCTTGCACATTCTACTGTACTGTTTTCAATGTAACCTATTCTACTAACACATTCATCTTAAGTGAATTTTTACAAATTTTTACAAATAATTGTTGCACAATTTTCGTTTTTTTTTCTTGGTTTTTTTTCCTTGCACATTCTACTGTACTGTTTGCAATGTCATCTGTTCTACTAACATAACACAATGAAACATATCAAAGTACTTTGATTTTTTTATTAGCGATAGATTTTTTTCAAGATAAAACAGAACCTTTCTGCTGCGCTGTCAAAACCAAACTCTCACTAGCTGGCAAATCAAACCAAAACCGAAACCTAATTTCTTCGCATGATTTTCTCTTTTCCTTTTGATTTGGCTACCTAGCGGCTAGCGGCCCCTATTCTTGCAAAAAAAGGAATGAACCGCAAAATTACGCGATTTTGCATAACGGGCTGCCGTTATTGCTATGTTTTCGGCTGACATAAACCGATTGACACCCTACCCTAAATTTGTTCGTGGACGTTACAACTTTTATTGTTTTCTTCTTATGTGGTACCATAGTTGGTGAATCCATTACCATCAATCTGTTGTTGTTCCTTCTGTTCCCAGTTGCTGTACTGCTCTCTTTTGCTCCTTCGGCTTGGTTGCTCCTCGGACTGATGCTATATTTTGGTAACTCCTACTTGGGCTCCTCGCCGCTTCCTATGCTGTTTGAAGTAGACCGGAACTTACGATAGGTTTCTTTGTTATTGTTAACAAAGTTTTTCTTTTTAACCAGATGAATTTTTGCGTTCCTTTTGCTTGTTTATTATTGTTATTATTTTTTTCTTCTTTTTTTCTATCGAAACTTTATTATTATTTTTACTTTTTATTTTTCTTTTTGGAATATCAGCATTCCTTTGAATTATGCTTTTGTGCAATGAAGCTCAGTCCGAAGCATCGGGGTCCTTCCTTCACTGGAACATCTACTCGGTCGCCAGTTGTATAAGTTTTTATTTATTGATTAGGTTTCTTAAAAACGCTATTTAATTCTTTGTGAATCCTTAATGAAAACACAAATTTTTATTTTTTTCTACTTAACATTTATTTTTATTTAGAGAACTTAAGATGCTAATACTATTGATGTCTGGTAATGAACTGATTTTATTTTAACAAATTACCTTGTAGGAAACTTTTGGGTTATCCGGTTCGTTCAATAGGAGATTGATGAGAAGTGTTTATAATGATTTCGTATGACACTCATTGTTTATGAAATTTTATATTTTATGTTATCTATTAGCGTGGTTCGTGAATTTACGCTTTTTGTTAGAATGGTCCTTAACTTATACATTCGCATATACACGATTCTATTTTGTCGTACACATCTAATTATAGTAATAAAAAATATATTGTACGCATACAACGTTTTTGTATTGCTATATTTAAAATGTTGCATATATATATTGTTTCTATACATTTGTTCATTTTTAAAAAGAGTAAAATATTGAAAATATAATTTAATGTTCATTAAAAGCTAAAAAAATAGTAGAGAATAAGTAAAAGTACGTTAATAGTTGCAAAATAACTTTTGTGAAATTTAATAGAATTTTTACACTGAAATTTGTCGTAAAGTGAAATAACTCTACAATTCTCTCTCAGTCATTCTTACGTCATCGATTGCATAATTGTCTTAATTATCTAGAATATCAACTACATCGCGACGTGACCTCCAATCGACATGACAGGTTCCTTATCGTATATACCTTATGCATGCATATGTACACATATAATTTGCTTAGTAAATAACATAATTTAAGTAGTCATGCATATGTATTTACAAATTGTTTGATGCGTTCTCTTCGATTCCATTCGATTAATATAGGGGCATTAATATTGTTTGTGTTATTGAAGGAGATATGAATTAAAAGGAAGAGAAAAAACATATATATAAAAATGTTTTTTTTTGTTTAAAGCTTTTTTTTTGTCTGACTGGAAAGTAGGTTAGATAGTCATCGGACCTAACTTTCTTTCTAAAGTCTCCTATTGCAAATTATGGGCCGAAGGAAACCATAGGTAGAATCGAGTAGGGAGTGCCCCATAACTTACAATTTGTGCGTTGGGTAAGTAGGTTTTGTCTGCGTGATTATTCTTATATAGACAGACATGCTATTACATATTTCCATGGGCGACCATTTGACTGAGTATTCAGGAAAAGTGATAATTGAAAGCTTCGGATTATAGATTTAGAAGGATCTAATTTCCAGTATATATGAATGAGTTCTAGCTGCAGACAACAATTATAAAGTTAGAAAAAAGTGATTTCCTGTCTGAGTCTTTGAAACTGTTATGGTGACTTGAGAAGTATCCTTCAATGTTAATATAAGCAAACAAAAAACCATTGGAGACGACACCAGATTTAGATCCGTCACTGAAAATGAGAGAACTGTTTCCAATTGACGTTAACTAGGTTTAAGGAGTGAGATTTTTCTATTCGTAAAAATTTGATTACAGGTTGAGAATTGTGAGAATCATAACGAAAATCCATTTGTCAAATTTCAGAATATTCAAATTATTAAGTTTCTGAGCGAAGATTTCTATTCGCGGGTTGAGAAATGTGACGTTCATAAAGAAAATTTGTTCATCAAATTTCAGAATATTGAAATCATTAAGTTTCTCAGCGAAAACTTGGAAATATGAATGAGAAAAGCTGACAGCCATGAGATTATGAGGAAGAGGTGGAGCCAGATGATTCGTAGCAAAAAAGATATGGTTGATGCCATTAGCATTTAAACGAAGCCTTTTACGCAAAGGCGTAATATCCGCCATTTGTTCCAAACTTAGAGTATAAGTGGAGACGCCAAGCGCTAAAGGGAGACATATTATTAAAGATAAAGATCAGCCATATGGAGGATATTATCGTAGCTGACAGTTAGCTTTTGTCGAACAAATGAATACGAAGCGAGAGCTAAATTTTTTATACGTGATTTTATACGCCTCTGCGTATAATTTCATCATACACCGAGGATTCCTAGGAATGGCCAATATAAGTTGCAGAGATGCGACGTTATTAGAAATAACATCCATAGCGGATTGAGCAGATTGGCTATCCGAATCTAGGCCAAGGTGTGAATTGAAGAGGATAAGGTCGTCGGTATCGAAACATTCTCAAATTCTCAATTAAGCAATTAAATACGTGACGTCATGTATATTTTAAAACAAATCGGACTTAATACGGAACTTTTGTATATAATTTAAACTCGAAAATAAAACCTTCTTAACACCATACATAGTTATAGCTACGGTTTGTCATCTGCTTTTCAGCAAGTCACGGTGTGTTCCTATTATAATAACAAAGTGTAATACAATAGTGTAATGACAAAATTTTTTAAAATTTAAAGGTATTACAAATGAAAAATGTATAAAAGATGGAAGAAAAATAATAATATTTTTATGTGATTTTGCGGAAAACAAGCAAAGAAAGGAATATAAGAAAACATTTTTTTTATTATTTTACTTATTAATCAATTTTATAAATTGCTGAAATATTTGAGGTTAAGAACGGCCCGTTCCAACTTCGGTGTACTCAAATCAAGTGGGCTCAGCATTTACTCATTCTGTGGAAGAAGAAGAAGAGAAGAAAAAAGGAATGGAAAAAATTATAAAAGCATATTGTAATGTATATAAAATAAAATATTTATTTCACTATGAAAACGTTTCAAAAACTTCATTTAAAAAAATAAAAATATTCCAACAACTTCCTTTAAAAAGATGGGAACATTTTAAAATGTTTACTTTACAAAACTTACAAATAAGTAAGAAAATTTTTCAACGCAAATAGCCATTCGTTTTAGTTGGTTTTTACAATGAAATTGGAAAATTTCATTTAATATAATTAAAATGTTAATGATTACTTTTCTCTACATTCAGATACAGTTATTTCTTTCATTTCCCCGTACATCATACGCTCGTCATATCGTTTAAATTTGTAGCTAATTCCTCCTTTAAATTTTTATTTGTTGTAAATTTTTCGGACCTAATTTATTTTTTCTTAATATCCGTACCAGCACCCGAGCAATTTTTCCTAACACTGACTTCGGAAACGCGGAACTTCTGAACTCGTAGAAATTACATTCATCGATATAACATATATTTATGCGTCGTTTATAAACAACTTACTTACTCGCTTTGAAGTGGTCGGAAGCATCACGCAAAGCTTTTCACGCCCGTTTCAAAGTGATGCTTTTTTCTGTCGCGCTCGTCAGTTTTCTCCGTTTCAATGAACAAGCAGCTAATTATGTATCACTGTCACCAACTTTTCAAAACTTCCCCCCAAATTTTCCATTACAACGCATTATTAACAGAGAGGAGTAAATAATGACGATTGTTTTGTATAAGCAAACCACATAAGGCAAAGTTATGCACAATTTGTGTTAGGCTATAAAATGATAATCGAATTTAAATGTTGAAATGATCATGGTCGATTCTCAAGAAATTTGCATTTAATTGCCAGTGCATAAGAAGTTTTTTTTATCAAAATAAGAAATAATACTTTCCATATTTATATAAATTTTATGTAAATTTTTGCGAATTATAACTTTAAAATGTACTTATGTTTTTAGGACTCTTGTAATATTTACAATTTTTGAAACAAGTTCTAAGTTCTTTGCTCGAGTGCCTCAATTGAAGTGCCTCCACACAAATATCAACACAGTCATCTTCATAGGTCGCCTGCTGAGCTGAAGTATTTGAAAGATCTCCTTTCACTTTGTAGCGCACACTTCCCAGCTTCTTTGGACTGTAGCAGCTCTTCCGCTCTTCCTGTAGAATGCGCCAACGACTTACAGAAATGTACAAAAACTGTAGTTAGATTTTCGAAATAATAATACTAATAAATCTTTCTGCAATATATCTCGCCTTGTAATGGATTTCGTTGTATTTTCTTTTTCTATTTCTCTTCAGCCAAGGCTCTAGGGAGTATCGGCTTGTACCTGAAAAAAAATTAAAAAGATGTGGTTTTTTAGCGCTTTTATTTATTTTATCTCTTACCGAACAGCCAATCATTGCTATCTTGCCTATTCCAATGGTATTCCCGGGTTGCCTCCACACATAGGAATCGCGGGAAGGCCCGGAAAGTTTGAAATTGACTGCCACAAGCTTCAATTCATGGTCGTAAATCTAGAAGTAAATTTTATACGTTCCATCAACGCGAATTACAGTAATAAATGACAAAAACATTATAATGGTTGTTTATTCTACGTCGTTTGCAGACATTAGAAACAGTTTACTTACTCGTTTTGAGGTATCATTGGTGGTTCGTTCCATAAAACCTTTCTCGCTCATTCCGTGGTGATCCCTCTTATGCGTCGCGTAAGTCTTTTCTGCCCCTTCTCGTCTGCAATGAAGGAGCACAAAAGGAAGTTACGATGCATTGTGCTGGAAATGTACATATTGGTTAACATTGCTTAATTTAGCTCGGTGTTTAAAAAAAAATTGTATATAATTTTACTAAATTTTTTTTCTTTCTCTTTTTTTTCGTCACAATTCACAATTATAATTTCACTTTATTTTTTTTTAATTTTTTTAAATTTGCGAATTAATAATTCACTTTCTAAACGCTGTTTATAATTTTCTTTTAAAGGTGTTTTCTGCAAAAGGAAATCTAAATGGGTGACTTGTGGTGACTTTACTTGATTTATACTCACCACTAATGCAAATTTGTTTTCAGTAATTTTACTGCAGCCAGATTTAACGTAACTCAACACCAATCACCAGCAAATTTGCTACCACCATTACATTTAATTGGTGATTGTTGCCTATTTCATTTTCGCCTCCAGTGTCGACGTACTTGTTTGAGTTAATAGTAATTGTTGCAAAATTAATCAGAAATACATCAATGGCAAAAAAGTTCAATTTCGCGCCTGCCAAATAAAACAGAAAAGAGCAGAAAGAATAGGCTTAAAAAACCTCCACGAACCTATTCCAATTCGTCATATCAAAGTCGGTGTGGAAAAGCTGACACTTAAAAATTCGCTTCGAATGCCTTGTATAGATCTAGAATATAGTGCAGATAATAAAATCATTTGCGGTTTGAAATAGTGCAAATATGCTGTCGTTAGAGTCGAAACTCCTTTAAAAACTAGAGACATCTCCCAATGTCATTGTTGTCCAAATTTTGGATACGCAAAACCTTTTTCCACAATGTAAATCAAATGTGAACCGAACAAACAATTGTGAACTCCTCGCGCGAGAAAAGTCAATTTCAGGGCCGGGAAGAATAAAAAGGTTAGTGAAGGGAGAGCGAGATGTCTGGATGAAGAAAGAAAATAACAAAAATTCGTAATTATAATATTTCACGATTAGCGTAAACATAACATCAAGAAAAAGAAAAAAAGTCGAAGACAGGCTCAGTTTGACAGACGGAGAACTATTTATGAAATATTTAAAATGTAAAGTAAATTGAAATGCAGAAATGTAAATTAAATTAAGAAAAGAAAAAAAAGGAGGATTGCGGACGTGCTGCTACATAAATAGACAAATCTTTTGGGTTTGCTTAAAAAAAAAGAAAAAAAAAGATTTTTGTCTAAGACAGAGAAACGCGGATGATTATAAATTGTCTGGGCAAATCTCTAAAAAGAACTTAATTAAAATTTAGAAAAAAAGAAGAACAAGAATAATGTTTGATCTTGAAGAAGAAAAATGGAGTCATTATAAAACATACGCAACAAAGAAAAGTTTGAACAAAGGAAAAACTTATAAATATGAACAAAGAGGATAGTAGGGTTAATTGGTAATTACAAAAACAAAAGATATAAAATATATGTACACAGAAGTACTTGTGCACGCGGATTAACATACCCAAACCAAAAGAAATGGTATTTAATTTTACATCTCACATATGCTTGAATATCGCAGAGTTCGTCTTTCCTTATTGTAATTATTGTGAACTTTTCTATGTAAGGAATTGAAGAATCAAACAGACTAAGCAGGATGTCGAGCGAATTACTAGGTTTTTAATCAATAAATTCTTATATAGCGTTATGCGAAACTTTTTTTTTTCTAAGTCATAACTATATCTAAATATCATCTTATTGAAATAGTGTTTAATAGATTAAGAAGATTACGCCTCTATTTTTATTGTCTCTTTCACACATAATTTTTTCAAATATATAATAAAGCGTTGTATGAACTTCAATCATTCGAAATTGTATAAACTTATTTTAATATTTGTTCATAAACCCATCGAAATCCAACGCTACATTTTTTAGTAATATGAACTAGTATTCGCCCCAACTAAACATCCTCATTGGTGAGTCCAATGTAGAGGTTATTGGCCTACATAACTACCCGGGTGTATTTATTAATCATTACCTCACCTTTAAAAAATATGTTTACCATAGAAAAATGGTGGATACATTGCGCTCAATTTATTCCAATAGTACTTAACTACCGCAACTAATCAAATACAGACTAGCTTATCCTTTTTTGATGCCACCGATCTTTTATGGCCTGGAAGTGGTAGCTGGTACCACAGCTTATATTTACTTTAGGCTTAGTCGTATTCTGAAACCTATCGTACGTTATGCCTACAATATATGTGGTTGGGTGCACGTGTCGTAGCATGTTAAGCGGTTCTTGGGAAGTAGTTTTGGTCATTTCTCACTGTGACGTAGCTTACTGCAATTTTGTAGGTTTATTAAGTATGGCCTGCTTCTAAATTTATGTGCTACCTTTACATTTACGGGCTGTAGTAGGTGCAGTTATTTTGAAAAGTTCTTCCTTGTGCGTGTCGCGCGATGCTGAAAAATGCTAAATTTATATTCTACCTTTTTATTTACGGGCTCTAGTAGGTGCAGTTGTTTTGAAAGGTTCTTCCTTGTGCGTGTCGCGCGATGCTGAAATTGTCTGCCACGGAACCCACGTATGTGTTCTCTCTCCACTAATGTTTTTCTGGTTAAGCGTCTTTGGTATTTTTTTATCTTGGAGAAGGATATTCATTTATCGTTTAGCATCAATAACACCGTTGTCGGAATGATCATGAGATGGGCTGCAATTGCGCTCATTATAGTTTGTCATTATAGTTTGTATAGTTTGTCTACTCGGTACGTAAATTGTGATTTATAACTTTAATTTTAAGTGGTATTGTAAGAGTTCCTTCTGCATTTAGTATATCATTGCCTTTAAAATATTGAATGTTTGGCAAGAACCTATATTTTTCATTGGAATAATCTGTAACGAAACTTTCAGAGCAGGAGGCACATTTATTGTTACGCCGACCAGCCCAGTTGATCTGTACAAGAGAAAGATAAATTCCAAGGTATAAGAATATAAAAAAAATTAAAAGAAAAAAAGAAATAACTTATGTGTCAAGTGTGCTATTCCCTTCCTATTCATTAATTGTTATATTTTTCGTCTGTCTTGTCCTTTTGTCCGTTAATCCGCATGTGAGTATCTATTTGTCTGTTAAGTCGTTGTCAGCCATTACACCATTACTGTAGCATTATCGATTTATCGTCATCTACCAATTCAATAATCATTTATGCTTAGTTCGCACTCTATTATATATCCACATAATGTAAACGTAGCTATAACCTAGTTAAGATCTGTCCTACATATTTCCACATACTGCAAGTCAAGCTGTGACCTAGATAATATAACGCAATCTAGCTTTACATGTAACTTTAGTAATAGCCTAGTTTAATTCCACTATTTTGCTTAAGTTAGCACTATAATTTATTGTATAAATTACTGACCACAGTTCAGTAAAGTCAGATGTAAAGTCGGAAGTAAAGTTGGAAGTAAAATAATCAATAATAAATAATCATCAAAACGAACCTTTAATTGTGTTTTCACTACATTACACTTGCTACGAGGCCCAGCTCAGCTTTCGGTAGACCGGCTAATTTATTTGACTTGGCATGCTGGGCCGCATGACAATAATAAAAAAAACAACAAAAAAAAAAAAGGAAAACGCAAAATAAAAAAATATTTACTCCTGGAAAAACGGTGTGAGTCCGTTTTTGAGGTCTGTTGTGCGCACAGTACGTTGGTCCGGTTTTAGTCCGTCCGTCACTGTCCCCAGTCCCCCACTCTCGACTACAACTCACCATGCCCTCGCTACAGCAGCGGTGTATTATACTTGATCACTCATTCTTACTCTACATTCATTCCCCAAGAAATGTTAAATACACTGATTACTCACCATTGCTAATATTTGAATTGATTGATTGATTGAACAATCATATCTGACTGGTGAGAGCGGCAGTTTCCCAAACAGATGTGACTTCTTCGGGGGAGACGTACACCGGTTGCTCCAGTTGCTAGAATGTTACAAGACAGATGAGTGCGCAACGCACATCTTTTTTTTTTCTCAAAGAAAATTTTCCACGTCTACCAAGATCACTTGATTTGGCATTTCACAAAAAAAACCTCAACAGTTTTGCTTTTTCTTCTTCCTTGCTGTTATAAATTGTTAATTTTGACAAAACTGTGCCACTCGCTATAAAAATCGTAATCAAGATCGATTACGAATTTTCAGCAATGATGTCCAATGTTTGAATTAAAAAAATTTAAAATTAGTTAAATCATAAAAGTAAAAATATAACTTTTTCTTTTTTCGATTCAGTTCATTTTCCTTTTTTTTTGTGAATAATTTTACATCAATTAGTTCTTTTTTCAAGAATCCCATTTCCTGGAAGATTTTCAAAATTTGATTTATAAAATCATTTACTTAAATAATCGAACATCAAATGACTTTATATACACATTTCCATTTTTAGAGAGAATATTATATTAAATGCTCTTTTTCTTTGGAACCTGTTACTCTGCTTATAAGTTTTAAGAATCCATATGTTTTTTTTTTAAAGTTTATTTTTTCTGCAACCGTTCACTTCTGTAGTTGATGCTCGACTCCTCAAACGATCAAAAAACGAAAAAAACCACCACCGAATTTTTTCGCATGATTTTTCTCTCGCTCTTCTCTTTTGCATACCTAACGGCTAGCCGCTATTTTGCAAAAAAAAGAAAAATCACGCGATGTCATTTAGCGGCATGCCGTTATTATGACACTAGTGGCAAAGCGGACTGACACCCTCCCTGAACTTTGTTCGCGAACGTTACACAGTTTAATTCTTATACACATTTTTATTTTAATTTTAATTAAATTAAATAAAAATAAATAAATATATAAAAAAAAGGAAATAAAAATTATTGCGGCAGTGTATTCTTGATGTGGGAAAAAACTTTGATAAGATCTGCCATGATTAGCTTGTTTTTAAACTTAAAAATTTTTTCCAACTCCTATTTATTAGCTATTTAAATCCTGTTTGCAGGGAAGTGTTCTAAGTTAATTACTTCATGTAATTTTCACTGCAGATTTTCCGAGCACTGATGTTTTAACTGCGATGTACGCTAGCATAGCAATCCTATTTTCATCCGTTGATTTGTTGAATGTTTCCTACGAATCCACGAGTTTGGTTTACGTTGGGCCGATGGAGACGGAAAATCGGTGTTATGGATGGCATTGTAAACAAGGAGGATTTTTTAAGGATATGGAAGGAAAATTTGAAAAAAAGAGTGGACAAACTTGGTGGCACATTCAAATTTTATCACCGACCTCAAGCGTAAATCACGCTGCTCGAAAGTGCTTCACCCTCTTCCACAAATCACTAGGCATGGGCACCATCAAAAATATGGGAGATGAATTGAATCTCTTCCGTCCAAGACCTGAAAAACCGACTATAAAACGAACGGAGTAAGATCCCTGTTTCCCAAACAAGAAAAATTATACAAAACAGGTGAAATCGTTTAAATGACATTATTAAACAGAAAAGATGCTTCTCCGAATATAAATTTTTAATAATAAGGTGTTTTTTCTTCGTATCCTCCCTTATACCAAAAAACCCAATACTAATTACGCTATGTTTTTAATGTTGTTAAAGTTATTCAATTTTCTTATAATGTTTTGCTTGTTTTTTTTTTTATATTTTAATATGTATTCGCTAGTAGTATGTAATAGTAAAATAAATTTTTATCTTTGGACAATGGACTAGGTTGAACAAGCGTTTACTTTTTGTCGAACGAAAGAACTCAATATTAACGAGATTCATAGTAGGTATCTCAACTAACTGTTAATACTTGATGCCAAAAACCGGATCGCAG